TATAACTTGTTGGAAACAGAGATTAGGGCATTATGGAGAAGAACAAAGAAGCAACTTCAGCTTAATCCAGAAAGGGCAAAGGACATCTTATCTAAATATCACAACAGGGTMKTAGCCCAAGGCAAAGTTGCRACGATTGAAGGACAAAAACTGATCTTCCATTGGTTCAAGGAGAAGCATCAGGAGGATAATATAGATGATCAGCGGTCGACACAGGAGTTGAGGTTGCCTTAAGGAGTAAATGGGAGACTAGCTTTAGCAAAATTTTGTTTCTCCATATAGGGTTATGTACTTTAGACAAAATAGGAGTCTAGGACCTTTCTCGTTACTCATGATATATATGACAGGTTGTACCATGTGACCTGAGAGGAAAGGATGAAGCAGGGCAAGCTGACAGTCAATCCTCCGCGATATTGGAGCAATCAATGCTGGTCAGGGGTCCTTCAGCCAGACGGAAGGAAGCGTGAGTATTTTTTATATATCTTTTATTATGACTTGCCGGTGGAATAGGAACCCGAAAAAAAAAAAAAAAAAAAAAAAAAAAGTCACTTAAATTTTTACCAAGGATTGAGTAGAGTCTTAAGACATAGGACGTAATCAGACAGAGGGGTAGAGCGGAAGGAGAAATGATAGCACTAGGGTTTAGGGTTCAAGGGGAGGATAGATTGAAAGTGAGAGGGGAGGGAGAAGTTAGGTAGTGGTAACCTGGGGGTAGGATGGTCAGTTCTTTTGGCTCCAAAATGCAACCTAGAGACAGACTGGCAGTTTCTTTCATCCATTGCGATTTGTCTTTTGTTATAAAAAAAGGAAAGAAAGATGCAGCAGAGCAATTGAAGGACAGTCTAGACCACGGGAGAAGGTTCGGGTGGAAACCAGAACGATGAAACAAGCCGAGACCCTTTGCAGATGGCCGAAGACCAAGCAAGCCTGGACAGAAGACGAGGAACAGCGAAAGACCGAGAGACTGAGGTTTTACAAGAATTGGTTGTTAAATGGCAAGATTGCAGAGATACGAGAGGACCATATCTGCTGGAAAGAGTGGCATAACTCAGCGCCAGAAAGAAGCTTCCAACAGCGGTTCAACGCGGTTGGATTAATCACTTCTTGAACACGAGATGACTGCAATTGCCGGAAAGACTGGCACAATTCAAACTCAGGAAGAGGCTAGCGACAACAGATAACTGTGGACGGGCAAAACACCTCCTGATCAGACTTCCACGGGAGATTGACAAGCCTAAACTACTATAGCTATGGATGGATAACATGGAGATGGACGGATGGCACCAAAAGATCAGAACACGGGGAAAAGGTTGACTCAGAGGGATGTTGGAATATGGGTACACAGGTTGACGGTTTAAGGTTCAGGGTTTTAGTGATGATTTAAAGAATGGGGGACAGATAAAATGGGACAGGGGATAGCACGCCTCACGGGCAGGGCAGATGAGTGGGGAGGACGCAGGCCAGCAGGGACAAAGGATGAGCTCTTTCTAGGTCGCATAGTACTATTTGGCAGATCTGGCCTCCAGATCTGAGAGGAAAGAGAGGGACATGGCAAGCTGACAGTCAATCCTCCACCAAGGTGGACCAATCAATGCTGATCAGGGGTCCTTCGGCCAAACGGAAGGAAGCGTGCGTGAATTTCAATATAATGTATATTCTGACTTACGGGTGGAATAGGAACCGGACTGATGCTCCCCAGAATAGAACGGAGCCAGGACCATAAGGCCCTGTTTAAAAAAAAAAAAAAAAAAAAAAACACTCAGAATATACGAAATACTCACAAGCAGGGTAACCGGCGTTCGGGACGGGCCGAACGCCCGAACCCGAACGCCCGAACGTATGGGACCCCTTGGGGATGCGTTCGGCCGTTCAGGCCGAACGCGGACCCAAAAAAAAAATAATAATAAAAAAAATCAAAAAAATCTGAAAAAAAGATATGTTATGAAGCAAAATAAATTAAACAAGATTTGCCTGAGCATTACATCTAAATTACTTACCAAATTTGAAATAAAAATAAAATACGAAAAACCCTGGGCTACCAGACCCGCACGGGCCCAGCCGCCCGGCCGGGCAGCCGGGCCAGTGCGATTTGGACCCTCTTGCCCGGGTCACCCGGGCAAGTAAAAAAAATAGTCAAAACTTTTTTTTTTTTTTTTT